GGGAAAAAAAATAAAATTTTTGTCTTTTTTTTTTGGTACAATGAAGAGAGGCTAAGCCTATTTAGCCTCGATTAAGACACGATGATGAGAGACACCCAACCTATCGTGAAGCAACCACATACTCACCCCCGGCGGAGGACTCGCCAACCTCTGTAAACCGTCCGGACACTTCGCCGCCAAGGAGGCCAAATAATCGGCCACAAAGTTGACCTCACGATACCCATGAACGATGGTCACGTCCCAAGAACGAGCTAGGAGCTCCCTTATCCCACGCACCAACCCGCCATGCGGCCCACAAGAACGGTCGTGCTGCACCATATTGATAATACCCCTGTTGTCAACTTCAACACAAACCCTACGAACACCGACGTCCCAGGCTAGAAGCAATTCCTGGAGCAAGCCCCAAAGCTCCGCACCCACAATAGAACAAAACCCTATGTTCATTACAAACCCGTGCACCCAATTCCCATAATGATCACGAATGACACCGCCAGCACTAGCCATGCCCGTTGATGGATCAAAGCTCCCGTCTGTATTGACTTTAAGCCCACCCACCGGCGGGCTTGACCACGAGATCCACCGCCGCTCTCTAACCCCGCACGCACCAACCTGCTGGCCACCAACCGAGGCACATTGCATCATATCCATGAAAGAAAAGACTTCACCAAGTCGACGGGTCATGGGCACGTCAGTTTCTTGGAAGAGCTTGATGTTCCGCCATCTCCAAATCCTCCACGCCGTAAGACCGAATAATGAATCCCAATCACCCCGCCCACGGCTCAAATTTCTAGTCAGATTTTCCAAAAGCTACCTGCGGACATCCAGCGAGAAGAAACTGTCCCAACAACGTTGGGGGAGCAGATTTTTCCATGTAAGTCTCGCCTCCGGGCAGTCCCGTAAGGCATGTAAAGTAGACTCGCAGGCCTCCGAACATATCGTGCAAATCGGGCTCGACGCCATGTGTCTACGATACCGAAAGGCATTCGTCAATAAGCTGTCTCGAGCAACCAGCCAGAGAAAGGACCGTACCTGCTGTGGGCCCACCCAACTCCATACGGCCTTCCATATTCGATTTGTACATTGACCTCCATGTTTTGCGAGTTCCCTGTAAGTTGACCGAGTAGAAAAGCGGCCATCCGCTGTCGGTTCCCAAAACAGTTCATCTTCCCCGCAATCCACACACGGCGGCGGAATAGCCGCGATCCTCAGCAAACACGTGACAAGTAAAATGTGTTGGAACAAGGGCCAGTTCCATTCACCCGTCGGAGTAACATAAACCGCCACAGGAGCAAAAAGAAGATCCTCTGGTACCGGGGCAACCGCCGCTTATTAAACGAAGCTCGCAATTCAACCACTTGTCC